AACAACAGAAATCCCCAGGAAAACAATTAAATGAAATGGAAGCCACCAAGATATCAGGTGCAGAGGGGTTTTCTTTGTTTGTTTGGTTTTTGGTTTTGGTTTTGAATCTTTAATGAGAAAAAAATATATATCGAGCTCAAGAACATTGTGTGGTGTGTCACTGGGTCAAAGTTGGGGGTATTCACTTTACAAAATTAACGACAGGAATATAAATAAACAAAGATATGCACAGTCAGTGTGAAAACCTGATGCCGGCACCCTTAAGTCTTGATTTGCTCATCACTCAGCAGCATGTTTGGGATCCCGCTGGTGATGGGGAACACACCTCCCGACTCTGGACACTGCAGGGTGCCCTCCATCACCTCCACCTCCAGCAGTAGGTGGTGCATAGTCCTCAGAAGATTTTCATTTTGCTCATACCCCTGAATTGGCTCTATGGGCACCTTGCCCAGGGACAAGGTATTGGCCGCCTCCACAAGCACCGCCCACTCCACCTTCAGTATCATACGCACCACGAAGTCAGGGTTTTACTCCACAGGCATGATGTGGACCTCGGAGGCCTGCAGGTGCAGGGGGAATCCACGGGGTCCCACCTCTTTCACGTGTGAGCTCAAGAAATTGTGGGTAAGCAGCTTCATGTCTCAACAAAACTAGGTGCATAGTTTAAATCAATGGTTATAAGGATTCTCAAGGGCGTTGGGGAAAAATGGGTGGTCTCAGTGAGAAATTAAACAAGGAGCCTTTTGCGTCTTGGACACCAACATGCTATCCAGACTGAGGAAGACCCAGAAACTTAGGGGCCACGTGAGCCACAGCCAGCGCCGCATTGGAAGTACAGGAAGACCCAGGAGGCTGAGGTAATGCTGGTGGCTTGCATCATCACAGTTGGCTTGCAGCTTCACAACTATCACCTATATTACTTTGGGAAAGTTGGTATGAGGAACTACCACTTGAAGAGGAACCAGAGCTTCTGCCCCACTGTCAACCTGAATAAACTGTGGACCTTGGTCAGTGAGCAGACATGGGTCAATGCTGCCAAAACAAGACCGGAGCCACTCCCATCACTGATGTGGTGCGATTGGGCTACTGCAAAGTTCTGGGGAAGGGAAAGCTCCCAAAGCAGCCTATCATTGTGAAGGCCAAATTCTTCAGCAGAGAAGATTAAGAGTGTTGGTAAGGCATGTGTGCTGGTAGCCTGAAGCCACACAGAGGGGAATTCATTAAATGCTCATAAGTGCTTTTGTCTTCTGGTCTGAGTGTAGGTTCATTGGCACCTCTACCTGTGTATCAGAAACCTGCAGGTTCTAGGATTTAAGGGTTTGAGGACCTGGGCTCCCCTGCCAACTCCCCTGAGAAAGAAAGTATGTGAGAGTTAGGACCAACACTTAGAGGCCTTGGTCTGTTACCTGACTTCAGCTCCTCCTTTATAAAGTGAAAATGATAGCTATTGGTGGTGTGTGTGTAGATACATATAAAATAGTTGTAAGGCAAAAGAAAGAAAGAAAAAGAAATCAAAGAGATAATAAGCATTAAAAAGGACATTGAACCATAAAAAAATAACCATTCAGAAATGCAGAATATAATATCTGATATAAAGAATACACTAGAAAGAATCAAAGCAGGTTAGAGGAAGCAGAAATTCAAATCAGCAACTTAGAGGACAAGGTAATAGTAAGGACCCAAACAGAGCATCAAAAAGAAAAGATAGGTTTTTTAAATGAGGAAAGTCCAATGGACCTCTGGGAGAACATCAAGCATAACAACTGCATCATAGTGGTATCAGACAGAGAAGAGAGTGAGTAAGGGGTAGAGAAACTGTGAAGAAATAATGCAGAAAGCTCCCTAACCTGGTGCAGTAAAAGTCACACAAGTTCAGGAAGTATAGAAGTTCCAATCAAGATGAAACCAAAAAGACCCATACCAAGACACATCATAATTAAAATGACAAAGGTTAAAGACAAAGAATCTAAAAAGCAGCAAGAGAAAGACAGTTACTTACAAAGGAGATCCCATAAGACTGTCAGCTGATTCCTCAACACAAACTTTTCAGGCCAGAAGGGATTGTCATAACATAATCCAAAGTGATGAAAAGCAAGGACTTACAACCAAGACTACTCTATGCAATAAAATTGAAGGTGAAATAAAGAGCTTCCAAAACCAAAAAAGCAAAAGGAATTTATTACCACCAAACCAGTATTGCAAGAAATGGTAAAGAAAAAAAAGAAAGAAACAAAGAAACGGTAAAGGGTCTGCTTTAAGAAGAAGAAATATAGGGAGGAACATGAATACGAATATAAAATGGCAATAAGTGAGTACCTGTTAATAATCATTTTAATGTAAATGGATTAAATGTTCGAATCAAAAGACATAAGGTAGTGGAGTGGATAAGAAAACTAACCTGGCCCAGTAGCTCAGTTGGTTAGAACATCAACCCAATATGCCAAGGTTGTGGGTTCAACCCCTAGTCAGGCTACATATAAAAGACAATAAATGAATAAATATATATAAATAAGTGGAACAAATAGATGTTTTTCTGTTTCTCTCAAAATCAATAAAACGACATTATATATATACACACACATATTATATGTTATATATACATTATGTATACATATACATTATATACACACACACATATATATACATATGTATGTATACATATATATAATATCCTAAAAGAGACCCACCTCAGAACAAAACATACACACAGACTGAAAGTGAAGGGATGAAAAAAATATTGCATGCAAATGGAAACAATAAAAAGTTGGGGTAGCAATGCTCATATCAGACAAAATAGACTTCAAAACAAAGGCTTCGTAACAAGAAGCTAAGATGTCACTGCATAATAATAAAGGGATTGATCCAACAATAGGATTTACACATTGATGTTTCTCTCCTTCTCTTTCTCCATTACCTTCTCTGTAAAAATTAATTAATTTTAAAAAAAGAAATCAAAGCCGTTAAAAACAAAACAAAACAAAACAAACCCTTGCAGCAAAGTCCTGGACCAGATGGCTTCAGTAGTGAATTCTATCAAACATTAAAAAAACAACTAACATCTCTTCTCAAACTATTCCAAAAAAATTCAAAAGGAGGAAAGACTTCCAATCTTCTTTATTTTTTTTCACAAGGCCAACATTATTCTAATTCCAAAACCAGATAAAGACACATTATAAAGAAAGAAAATTACAGACCAGTATCCCTGCTTATCTATCTGTCCCAGTTTCCCTATGCTGTTTTTTTCTGGCTTACTAGCCTGTCATGATATGAAAGGCCAAGGGGCTTAAACTGCATGACTAGTGACACGTTAGGGCTGCAAAGTTTGCCCTGGGGACGAGGTCCCACATTAGGATACTTATTTTCCCAGTTTTGCCTGTTGGTAGGCACTTGGAGCTTTCCACCCTGGTGACCTATACCTAGTTTATCATTCCTACTCTTCTCATGTCTGTCTAATCCCTACTCTGTCACTGTGAAAGCTCACCATCCAGGAAGGGAAGACAGACCAAGGCCCACACACCCAATATAAATAATAAGAAGTGAAGCTGAGATAGCATAGCAAGTGTGTGTCTTTATTTGGGTAGGGATGGGACCTAAAGTCTGGCAGCTACCTCTTATTGCTTCTACCCTTCTCTTGGCCATTCAGCAAATATTGGCACTTGTATGCTGGGCACATTCTAGAAACTGGGGATATAGATGTGTACAAAGTGAAGTCCCTTCTTATATTAGTGGAAATGATAATGGAGTATAGGAAGAATTTGTGCTTTAAAGGAAAATCATGCATATTCTAGATAGCATGCCATTCAACTCCCTAGCCTTTTAGTGTCTCAGAGATACCTCATATCTCCTTAGTTGTAGGTATCTTTGTTATTTTTTATTTTTAAATATTTTATTTATTTAATTTTTAATTATTTTTTAAAGGATAATTTTTAAAAAACATTTTATTTATTTATCTTTAGAGGGGAAGGGAAGGAGAGAGGGAGAGAAACATCAATGTATGGTTGCCTTTCGTGCGTCCCCTGCTGGGAACTGGCCTGCACAGAACCGACCTGCAACCCAGGCATGTGCCCTGACTGGGGATCGAACCACGATCGTGTGGTTTGCAGGCCCGCGCTCAATCCACTGAGCTACACCAGCCAGGGCCTGTTATTTTTATTTTAAAATCTTTTATTTAAATTGTTATTTAACAATTTAAATAAAATATTTATTTTATTTAAATTTATTGAGCCCATTGTTATTTTTTATTTTTAAATATTTTATTTATTTTAGAGAGAGGGAAGGGAGGGATAAAGGGAAGGAGAGAAACATCCCACTGGTTGCCTCTAGCACCTGACCAGAAATCCATCAGGGACCTTTTGATTTTCAGGGTGATGCTCTACCCATTGGGCCACACCTGCCAGGGCAAGACATGCACATTAATTCTATCTGCTGGATGAATAGCCCTGCTGTTCTACCCTGATGGTAGAAACGCTTGTTTTGTGCCCACTTGCTCATCTGTTGCAACATTCCTTTATTCTGTATAAATTTGTCCCTCTGACCTCTGATGAATGGATTATAACATCTTGGTTCCTGCATTAAAAGTTAATGAAAATATATTTAACATATGATCATTTTATAGTGTATGAGAACCATGACTTTTTGGAGGGGGAGGAGAATTACTCCTTAACAAAATAAGTAAACATTTAGTTCATAGTGTAATGTGTTATGGAGGCAATAAAGCAGAACAAAGAGGGAAGCAGGGTGTGTCATTCTCGGGAAGATTGTCAGGAAAAACCCTCCTGAATAAAAGTGCTAAAAGAATTATTCCATATTTGAAATTCAGATTTAACCATGCGCGTCTTGTGTTTTATCTGGCAGGCCTACTTCTGAAGGACTGGAGATCGCTGGCCCCGCGAGTTTGGCTGGACCGGCTTTGGCCCGCTTTGATCCCTAGGTATGGCAGCAGCCACGCAGCGCAGTAGCAGACGTCTGACTGGAGGGCGTGGCCACACCGGGGCCCCGCCTCGTCACGTGCGGACTCGCGGCAGCTGCGCTGGCCTTTGGTGCAACTGTATATCTGGAAACGGTTCTTATCGCTTGGCGGAGGCGGAGATGAAGCGGGCTGGGGCGGCAGACGCCGAGGAAGCCGCGGCAGCCCAGTTCACGGAGGAGTTTCCGGGGCGGGCGGCAGCGCTGGAGCTGTGGCTCAGTGAGTAGCGGGGCACGCGGGCCCCGCGCCGCCTGCGAGGCCTGGTTTCCCGCTTGCTTGTGCCTTTCCTCTGAGGCTGGCCCGGCGGGGGCCTAGGCCGGAAGCTGAGCCCCTGCAGTCCGCGGGGCAGCGGGCGGAGCTCTAGCGCGGGACTCTTCTCCACTCTCCAGGCCAGGCGCAGAAGCATTCATGGAATGATTAACGTTTCTTGAGCCTTCCTTTAGTGCTCAGCGCTGTGCCACCCACTTAATCAGCCATTGCTACTCCTCAGTAACAGGCCGAGAGACGGCTATCGTCGTTCACCCGGGTTTGGAAATGCGGACGATTAGGCTTCAGGAGACTCAGTCGAGTAAATGCGCAGCCTCCTCCGCCCTCGGGAGCTGGGAAGGGCCTTTGCTGCCGTCTTTCACGTCAAAACAAGTCCTTTTTTCTGTGCGTGTGTTCATAATGGCCGCACTGCTGTGTACCCTGCAAACTTGACACCAGTCGTAGGGGTAGGGGAGTTACTGCCCCCGTGTTACCCAGGAGGAGTAAAGAGAGGTTAAGGAATGCTTTTCTTATATTGGGCTCTTCTAGGTGCTGGGCAGAGATGCATGACAGCGTCATCACTTCCAAAGACAGTTTGTAGTGGGTTCAAGCCTATAGCAACAGCAACTTGCTTTTATAATGGGCAGAGAAGCACATTTGTTTAACCTGCAGTAGTAGGATTTGGTTTGTTTTTCCGGGGTTTGTCTCAGCGGACACAGCACTTGAGTGGACAGTGGAGGCGACAGCATTTCAGAGAGGAAACGGCCTGTGCAAAAGCTGGGGGGACCAGAGGCTGGAGCATTCTGGGAAAGAGTAGGTCAGTACTGCTGCAGTCCAAAACCTGGAGAGTCTGGAAATAAGGCTTCGCAGCTAGCTGGGACAAGCTCTTTAAGGGGCTTGTCTGCTGCCCATTGTGTGGGGGTAGGGGTGTGGAAGTTTCAGCCGTAGAGTTTGTGATTGGGTACATCTGTTAACAGCATCACCAGCAGCCATATGCAGCTGAACTGATTAGGCAGATGAGATTTAAGGCAGGGAGAGATTAAAAGCTCTTTTGGTGTGGTTGAGAGGCTCAAGTAGGAGGACGAAGGCTTTGGGATGGAGAGTAGAAATGATTAGCAGGTACAAACAGCCTTGATGCTCTAGAATAGAGGCAGAGACCTGAAGGAATCTACCGTGGATCCCAAGTTTCAGGCTCTGATAACTGGTTGATTACATATGCTTCACCTGTGAGGAAGAGCTGGTTTAGGAAAGAGGGGACAGTTGAGTAATGGAGTTTGAGATGCTTTTGGCACAGTTGGAGAGATGCTCTCTAGTTAGGTAGTTGGTTAACCCCAGATCTGGTAAGAGCTGGAGGTCAGCGTGGGAATCTTCAGTGCGTTGCCAGTGAACTTGTGCAGAGAGAGACTTGCAGAAGGAGCATGGAGAACCTCATCATTTAAGAAGCAGATAGGTTAAGCAGCCTGAAGATGAAAGGAGAAGCAGATATGGAGGTTGGAAGTGGTGGAAGCTGGGAGTTACTAAATGGTGGGAACAAAGGTATTAGGAGGTAATGGAGAACAGTAGGTTTAGGCTGGAGTTGCCTAAGGCTTAGGAAAGGTCAAGTGGGCTGGGTTAGAGGACAGCAAGTGCTGACCCACTGACTCCGATGTAAGAGATAAGAGGGAATGTGACTGCCCAAGGCAGTTCTTCAGCTCCTTTTATTTTGGGCCTATGGAGTCCCAAAGTTGCTAGATCTCTCAGTTTTTCCTATAGGGCTAGAACCTCTATTTTTATGTGAAATCTTTTGAGTTTTTAAAAGCTGATAAGTAGTACTTTGAAATGCAAAGTTTGTCTAGTGCAGGCCAAGCAGAATTAATCTGTGGGGAGGTATAGCATCTGGCCACCAGCCCCCACCTCCCTTTTTGAGTAAAGCTTTTATCTTTTTTTTTTTCCCCAGTAAAGCTTTTAATTATTTATTTTTTAAAAAATGGTATTTGAATGTTTAATGTTTAATGGAGGAAATAGAATAATAGCCAGAGGGAATTCAGAAGTAAAGGTCTTGAGAGGGGCACCAATGAGCAATTGCCTTTCTACTTGATGTTTCTTTGGGGGAACTATTCCTCCTGCTGAATTCTAGGTTCAAGACATTGGAGAGACGTTTAAAGATGCTGAAGGTCAGCTAGAGCAGAAAGGGGTGACATAGAGAGGACAGGCAGGTTGGAAGTGAGGAAGAGCTGGTTTAGGAAAGAGGGGACAGTTGAGTAATGGAGTTTGAGACCATTACTCAATTACCTCCTACTTTTTCTGAGTATCTGGGACAAGAGATAAAGATGATGGATGGATGTGGATTGTTAGTAACAATCCCCCCAACCTTCCACTTAGTATTAGGGGTGAAGGAGTTTGAGGAAGGTGGGAACGTTTGGGAATGGCTTTTAAGAGAAACAGAAGGGAGCCCATCTGGTCACTTGGGAACAAGGTTTCTCAGTCTCAGCACATTTTGGGCCTGATAATTCTGTGTCGTGTGGGTCTGTACTGTGCATTGTGGCTCTTTAGTGGAATCCTTGGGCTCTACCCACTAGGTACCAATACACACCATTTTCCCAGCCAACCAAAAATGTTTCCAGGCATTGCCAGAAGTCCCTTGGGGGATAGGGGTAGGATCACCTCTTCTCTCCCCACCTGAGATCCTGTGATCCCTCCTGCCTGCCCCCACCTCAGAAGCAGAGAAGGTAAACTATGGTTAAACCAGCTTTACTGGGGGATGTGGGTAGGGAGGTGGTAAGGCAGAAGAACAGCAGGGTGGGGTGGGGTGCTTGTAGAGAGGTTGATACGGCAAGGACAGTAGTATTGTTGAAGGATTGCGTTGTAAGTCTAGGCTGGATGGAGAACGAAGTCACTTTAGGTAGGGTCTGAGGACTGCTGATGTCAGATTGCTGACAGACCTTGCCTCCTCAAGCAAGGCAGCTATGTTTCCAAGAGGGGAATAATAGTAAAAACACGTCCCTCTTACTCTTAGGTTATAAGGATCAAAGGAATTAATACATGTGAAGCACTTAGATTAGTGCCTGGCACATAGTAAGTGATATCTATTATTATCATTAATCTTTTTAGTTGCAAGTAGCAGAAAACTAACTCATATAGGATTACTGGGGGAAAAAAAGGAAAAACATTGGGCCTAGAATTGGGGAGGAATAGTTCCCCAAAGGATCGTCAGGAAGCTGTTATGAGAAGCTCCTGCTTTAAAAATATACAAAGCAACTTCTGTATATTCTGAACTTTTCCCACACTTGGATTGTTTTGATCTGTGTTTCACATGACTGTATCTGTAATAACTGCCTTGTTCCTGTTAATGAAAAGTCTCATATGCCCCATTGTGTGGGTGTACTATAGTTTGGCTAACCAGGCCCCGGTAGTGGACATTGTAGGCTGTTGCCCGTCTCATGATATTACAAGCACACCCATTCCTCTGGATCTCTGAGATTCTAACCCTGGTAGTGCGGTTAGGGAGGCAGGAGCTTCAAGTCCAGTGCTCAATGAATCCCTTCCACCTGGGCCTACTTCCAGGTGCTCTGTCCTGTCTTTCTCCCAGCCCCACTTTTATGCCTCCCTTGGGAATCAGGAGTGTTTGGATTTCATGAATTTAAATTCTCTGAGCTTTTTAGGGGCTGAGCTCGTTCTCTGTCATGGAGCCCAGCATGGAACCCACTATAGGATTTCCCTGTAGTGGGTCTTGGGCCTTCAGCATGTGCTTGTTGAGTGACTGCTGGAGTGGAGGGTTCAGTGTGCACCTCCTGCAGAAGGGTCCCCCATGCAGTGAATACTGTTGGATGGATTGGTTTCCAAATGTTTCTTGTGGCTGCTATCCCACAGCCTCAGGGCTCCCCTATAGCACAGGCTGCTTCTAGCAGGCCAGAGGCATGACACTGGCATTTGGGTGGCAGCTGGTGGGAGATGATTTTGCTTCTGTATTAGCCACTCTGGGATGAGCCATTTCAGTCACAGCTGGAGTTCTCATCCTGTAGCCTACTTGAAATTCCTACAAACCTTGCTTTTATGAAGCAAAACTGTGGCAGTAGTGTTAACTTGTCCTACCCAAATACCAAGTAAATAAACCACTTCGGTGGCAGGGTTAGCCATTCTCATCGCCCTGATGAAGAGCAAGTTAGGGGTTCTGTGAGTTACTCTCTGACCATGCCTGCTCAGGCCCCAGGCCACTCCTTGGGGTTGTTGGCATCAGCAAACCTGGGCAGTTGCTTTGGCCCATTCAGACCTAGTCTCTGTCCTCCTGGGGGTCAGGTTCTCTGGAGCTGCTCTAGGTTTCTGAATAGACTGGCAGGTTGGGATTGTGTGTTGGGAGTTGTAATTTCAGAACTAGAATGGCTGTCTCCTGGAGTCACCAATATGTCCAGCCAACTGGCTAAACTGTGTAGCAAAAGATGAATCATTCATTTAGTAAATATTTGTGCCAGTGACTGTTCTAGGTGCTACAAGGTGAATGAGACAGACCTTGCCTTAGGGAACTGATAACTTAGTGGCAAGAAAGGCAAGGAAACTAGTTGCCAAAGATGTCCTACTTTACCAAGGAAGTGAAGACTTTACTGTGAGGAAGTTTGGGCCCTGGAGTCAGGCAGAGCTGGTACTGAATTATAGTTCTTATTGTTTTTTAGCTTTGTGTTTGGGCAGGTTTCTTCACATGTAAAATGGCGAGGCATGCTTTGAAAACACTCAGCATGGTGTCTGGTCCACAGTGAGTTCTTCAAGAAGGCAGTTATGATTATTACTGTTATTTGGAGTTATAACAAACCTTGAGTGGGTCCTCATAATACAAAGAAAAAAATGCTCACACTTTATAGATCTTCCAGCTGCTTGGTGTTGGGTAAAGGTTTGGGACATGACTTAGCCTTACAGAAGTTTCTTCTCCTTTCTCTGGAAAAGCTGTTGGTACTCTTTTCACCTGGCTGCAGGGGAGGCTGCTGAGGGCTCCATCTAAGGGTGTGCTGGGGCCTGCCTGCTGGTCTCTGCCTTTAGGTGCATCACGTGTTGAGCGCTGAATGCCTTTGAGATGCCAGTCTGTACCTTGTAGTGAACTGAAACCTCATAAAGGATTAATGATGTAGAATTATTTCAGATGACTCAGACCCCCTTAATCAGATTTTCTGAGAATCATTGCTTTAAATACTTTATTTCATGAGTACTTACTACATTTTGTACTTATGGGTAAGGCATTGTATTAAGCTCTGTGGGGAATATATGCCTTCTGTCTTTAGTTTTATTTCCTTTAGGTATAATAAGGCATGTGTACATATTTTTAAAGGAAAAGGCCAAGGCTGTGTGTTAAAATAAATGATAAGTTAGCTATCCTTGCCCTGGCTGGGTAGCTGAGTTGATTAGAGCATTATCCTGATATGCCAAGGGCGTAGGTTCGATCCCCAGTTAGGGCACATACAAGAATCAAACAAGGAATGCATAAATAAGTGGGACAACAAATTGATGTTTCTATCTATCTTTCAAAAAAAATCAATAAAAATTTTTTTAAAAAGGTATTGATTGTATGTTAAAAAGATTAAGTGAATACTTAATTGGTTTACTTAAAATCAATTTTAAGTAATCAGTTCTTTCAAGTAATCAATTCTTTATTGATTAATCTTTGCTGCTGTACTGATCACTTTAGACACTGTTTACTTTAAATCTCATGACTACATGTTGAGGAAGGCACTACCATATTTTTGCTGTGTGTAGTGCACACCCACGGTTTTGTTCCAACATTTGAGCAAAAAAGCCTTTGTTTTGATTTTTTAATTCAGTTATTTATTTATATTTAGAAATAAAATCAATTATTGTATTCCAGGATATTTGCATATAGATATTATTATTGCTTTCTGGAGTTATACTTTTCACACATAAACATGAATAAAAGAATTAAAAACATATTTATATAGATACAGAATTAGTACTACCCATATATAATGCACATCTTTATGTTCCCCAAAAATTTTTGGATAAAAAAAGTGCACACTATGCATGGCAAAATATGGTATTTTCCTAACTTTATAGTTGAGGAAACAGGCTTAGAGAACCCAAGGACATGTAAGTGATAAAGGAAGGAGTTAGCAATCTCCAACGTAAAAGGGGGGCGGGCAGTGCCCTGTCTGGTGTGGCTCAGTGGATTGAGCACCTGCAAAGAGAAGGGTCTCCAGTTTGATTCCCAATCTGGGCACATGCCGTGGTTGCTGGCCAGGTCCCCTGTTGGGGGGGGGTGAGAGAGGCAACTAATCTATGTTTCTCTTATATATTTATGTTTCTCTTTCTTCCTCCTCCTCTCTCTGAAAATAAGTAGATAAAAATTTAAAAAGGGGGGGATAGATAGAATGTGGGACTTTAGAGGAGTAACAGAGACAGCTTTTGTTTTCTGGGGTGGGAGAAAACAGAGCAAGGGCACCTTCATGAAGAAGGGGCATTTATTTTTTATTTTTTAAAAAATATTTTATTTCTTTAGAGAGGGGGAGAAACAGAGAAAAAGAGGGAGCAAAACATCAATGTGTGGTTGCCTCTCATGCGCCCCTTCCTGGGGACCTGGTCCACAACCCAGGCATGTGCCCTGACTGGGAATCGAACCAGGGACCCTTTGGTTCATAGGCTGGCACTCAGTCCACTGAGCCACACCAGCCAGGGCAAAGGGCATTTAAATTGGAACTCAAAGGGTAGACAGGATTTTGAGAGGTGGGATGTGGGGGAGGAGCTTTAAGGGGGAAAAAGGGGAGATGTATATGAAAATTGATAATCCCATTCCTTCGCTTCCTCTATCACCTTCTTTTTCACTTAGAGTGGAATTCATGGGTGAGAAGATGGGTGATTACATGTCCTTTAAGTCTCACTGTTGATCTGGGAGACATGAATGTGACTGCATTAAGGAAAAGTTAAACTCTAGTTAGCCATTGAGTCTGGAGTAATCAAAAGGGAGGAGAATTAACAGGCACTGGAAGAGTAGGGATGGAGGTTTTGGGGACAAGACAGAAATTCAGGTGGTCCTGGAACATCTGAGTACATCAGAAATCTGACTCTGAGAATTAGCCTGTTTGAAGAGTTTGAAAGAGATTCTCTGTCAGGAGCAGTGAGATGCCCATTGGAAAGGCTGGTAGGCATGGATGATCTGGACAGTGGGAAGGAGGGAAAATGTGAAGAAAGTCCCAGCAACTCCTTTGTAAGGGAATGTGGCCTGGTTCAGTCTGGGGGTGGGGACACCTGGGTGGGCATCCTTGTTGGGAAAACCTGCTGGACAGGTTTTCTCTGCAGTAGCAGCAGAAGGAGAAGAATAAGCTGCTATCGCCCAGCCAGGAAAGATACATACAACCCCGGATTCCTGGGAGATTGAGCATTGCCCCTCCTTCCGTGGACCATGGTCTCACGTTAGGTTTCTGATAATCCCTCCTGTTTCAGGTATCTCCTGTCCATGCCTGTGCCCTGATTCTCTTTGATGTGCATTGTCCTCAGATTTCATCCAAGTATGAGTGTTTGGATGAAGGACCCTAGCATGATTGGATCGGGGTCCCTGGGAATTTATACAGTAGCAGAGAGGGACAGCATTATGAGTGAAGGCAAGGAGATGTCTTCTGGTTGTTTTGGACTAGCTGCCAACACACAGAGAAGCTTCTTACATAAGATGGTCAGAAAGGATTTCAGGAAGCTAAGGCTTAGATTTTGGGGTATTGCTTTGAAGGAGATGGTGGGATGACCAATTGGAGTCACCTAGAGCCTTAGTATGTTCTTGTCCTTTTGTCACATAGCTATGAAAATTAACATGCAGACTCCCATGTGCTGGCCCCTGCTCATCATCATTGTAGGGCCACCGTGGGAGACGCCTTCCTGATGAGGGGTGTGAAGGCCTTCGAAGGCCGACCCCTGCACCGGAAATGGAGCCCCCTTTGGGGCTATAGCTTGTCAACTAATATGTTCATTCATTCAATCAGCAAATATCCACTGAGGCCATGTCATGCTCTGTGGTGACAGCACAAGCGTGGTCCTGTTTCTTTCAGCTGTCTGTTTGATCCCCTAGAGGTGTGATTTCATAGCCCTTGGCTGTTATATTTATTTTTGAGGGGAAGAGGTCTATGTTTCTTTTTATTATGCTTTCTCTAATTTTATTTTTTATTTACTTGGCAGATAAAGCCACAGACCCAAGCATGTCAGAACAGGATTGGTCAGCTATCCAGAATTTCTGTGATCAGGTGAACACTGATCCCAATGGGTAAGATGACTGTCACGCTTGACTCTGTGGGTACCTCAGACTAAGTGCATGCTCTTTTGTCTTGGGACTGTTTAACAGCTAGGCTTTCTTTCATCTTTCCTTCTGAGATCTACTGAGAACATTAGGTTTATAGATACAGCAAATTCATGTGGCTTTCAAAAAAGCAAAATAGTCATTTTATAACTGGCAATTATTTTTAAAAATTTTAGGTAGTCTTATGAAACACTCACACTCAGGAGACCTAAATGTTAGGATAGAGTTAGCAATGTGAAATAGATCAGTGTATTTTCCATAATTTAAATGTAACCTTTCTTCAGAAGAGGCAGGAAACAGGCAAAATTGTGTCGAATTCTGTTTCCAAAAAGTCTAGGAAATGAAAAATCCAGATTTAAAAAAAAGATTTTATTTATTTATTTTTAGACAGAGGGGAAGGGAAGGAGAAAGAAAGAGAGGGAGAGAAACCTCGATGTATGGCTGCCTCTTGTGCACCCCACAGTGGGAAACCTGGCTTGCAACCAAGACATGTGCCCTTACTGGGAATTGAACCAGTGACCCTTTAGTTCTCGGGTTGGCACTCAGTCTACTGAGCCACACCAGCCAGGGCCCAGATGTTTAATCTGCATATTACTGACTATTCAGCATTGAGAAATGGGCAGAAAGTTTGATCACATTGTCTACTCTAGTTTTTATCTGACAACAGATGGGGTGTGTGCTGCTCACGACCAGGCTACCCACAGGCCTGGGTCTGTCTGCTCAGCTTGGAGTTTAGGGGTGGGTGGGTTGGGGAGGGTGATGTGCTCTGAACAGTAGCAGTTGCAGGAAAGGTAGGTGGGGGTTGGCCTCCTTCAGAGGCTTGTGAATGGGCTGAATACCAGTCACTGTCCATCTCTGCTGTGGGACCAGAACTCCTGGAAGGGAGGTGACTTTGCGGAGCACACTTAGCCAGACTGGTTAGTTTTTCCCTGTCCACCCAGAGTCCCTCCGTCTTTGTTTCCCCTTAGCCCCATCCATGCACCCTGGCTGCTGGCCCACAAGATCCAGTCTCCACAGGAGAAAGAAGCTCTTTACGCCTTAACAGTGAGTTTGACCTGCAGCTTCAGCTCTTCTGTCCTGAAGCCAGAGAGAGCTGGGCCCCAGTCCTGTTTTGGTGTGGTGGGGAGCCTGAGAGGGTACATCTCCCTGGCCCTGAGAAAGCAGACCACAGGGAGGTAGGGCTCTGATTACCCCACCCTAGGTCTGTTTCTTTTTCTTTCTTTTTTTTTATTTTTCAAGATTTTATTTATTTATCTTTTAGAGGGGAAGGGAAAGGAGAGAGGGAGAGAAATATCAATGTATGGTTGCCTCTTGTGTGTCCCCTGCTGGGAACTGGCCTGCAACATAGGCATGTGTCCTGACTGCGAATCAAACCAGTGACCCTTTGGTTCTCAAGCTAGTGCTTAATCCACTGAGCCACACCAGCCAGGGCTTCCTTTGTTCTTTATAGTCCAGGCCTGGCAAGTTCAGTGCCCACAGGGCCAGACTGGTGACATAAATGAGTGAGCCACTGGGTGAGGATCACAGTCATGGAGACCACATGCCCAGTCAATGGAGGGCGGCTGTAGTATGGCACCAGCTAGCTATTGTCAGGTGTGAGTTTGGGCCCATAGTTTTTAGCACTCCCCGTTTTTTAGGAGAAACCATAAATCCAGATTTTTATATGAGTTCTCTGAATGTTTCATGTTGGTAACTAATTTGAAATGTTAAACAGTAGTGTGGACCAAAGAAAACATGTGCAGGTCCCACTTGCATGCCAGTAGGGATCCTGTGGCTTGGCAGTTCACAGGACTTATATACCAGACGTCGTCTCTGAGGGGAAGGGGTTCATCTGTGTGAAGGTGGGGGGCCTCCTTGAAAGGTGGGGTGACCTCAGGGTCCATATCTCACCTGTTTCCTGGGCACAGACCTGTCAGATACAGCAAGATCAAATATGTGCTTTTTTTAAAAAAAATATGTATTTATTTTTAGAGAGATGGGAAGGGAAAGAGAAAGGGTGGGAGAGAAACATCAATGTGTGGTTGCCTTTCACGTGCCCCCTACTGGGGACCTGGCCCGCAACCCAGGCATGTGCCCTGACTGGGTATCAAACCAGCAGTCCTTTCCTTCACAGGCCAGTGCTCAATCCACACCAGCCAGGGCTAAATATGTGCTTTTAAAAAACATCTGAAAATGTTCTCCCTTCTCCCAAACTTCAGTATCTTCATAGTCCTAAGTAAACACTAGCCCTGGTTCCAGCAAGTGCTCATCAGACTTTAGATGAGCCTGGAGCCAGTGATTTCCCCATTCTCATGGGAGTCCTGGGTCTGTGCAGGTGCTGGAGACATGTGTGAACCACTGTGGAGAGAAGTTCCACAGTGAGGTGGCCAAGTTCCGTTTCCTGAATGAGCTGATCAAAGTGTTGTCCCCAAAGGTGGGTACACTGGTTTTGGCCCTGTTTACTGTACTGCACCTGGCCTTGCCTTTAAACTCCAAAGGCAGGCCCATTCATGGACACACCCTGCAACCTCTCTCAGGTTTGAGAGGGAGCTGAGAGAGGAAGCCCTGTGTGGGAAAGCTTTCTGCTCCAAGGTCTAGGACAACCTTGCTGATCCCTGCCCTCCACTGTTAGCATCTTCAAATTATTCTCAGTTTAAAAATGGTCTTTGGATGGGTGGCCTACAGGGGGTGAGGAACCCTAGCTTGGAGCACAGATTTCCTGACAAGAGACAGCAATAAATATCAGGTGTGACATTAAGTTTCATATCACCTCTTGCCATGTGCTCCGTACCTTTTCTCCTAGCACCTGTCTTAGCTCTGCCATTCTTGGGTAACTGACAAGGATGTAGCCTTGCTGCTTCCCAGCAACAGTTCTCTTGATACCAGCTGAATGTCCTACAATTTAATTCAGTTCAGTCCTGCCACTCACTACCCAGAGCTGAGTGCAGACCCTATGTGTTCAGGACTCAGTCATACCTAGAATATGCCTGATTTAAATCTCAGCCATGAGTCTCATTGCTCTTCTGCCTGACTAATTACAGATTTGGGAGTTCCCATGACCGCCTCTACAAGGTTCCATAATTCAACAGAAAGAATCAAAGAACACAGGAAAGCACTATACTTACTATCATTATAAAGGATACAAATGGAAGAGATACACAGGCCAAGGTCTTAGGGGGAAGGGAAGCAGAGCTTACATGCGTTTCCTTGTGGAATCCAAGCACATTCCCTTCCCAGCACATCTGTGTGTTCAGTCAGGTAGCTCTGTGAGCTTTGTTTCAGAGTTTTTGCCTGGAGTTCCAGTATGAAGGCACGATTAAGTCATTGGCCAAATGATCGTACTCACTCTCCAGCCCCCAATGCCCACCCCCCCACCACTGGGGGGCTGAATAAAGCTGCAAGTTCCAACCCTCTAGTGACATGGTTGGTCTTTCTGGCATAGTCATCTCCTCCCTTGAAACTAAGTGCCCACCCTGAGTGGTTAGCTTAAACTCAGATACGGTCGGAGGGGATTTATTGTGAATAACAAAAGATTCCTATCACTCAGGAAATTCCAAGGGTTTTTGAAACTCTGCGCCAGGAACTGCAGACAAAGTTCAAGCATATTCTTTTATTATTCCACACTTGTCCCAATCAAAATCAAAAAATGAAAGTTCCCAGTGACTCTAACCTAGGCCAGTATATGGTGGGTTTTAATTTTAGCTGTTTTCGAGCTTGACTCATTGAAAGCCAGAAAGAGCCTTCAGTCTTGTGCTAGGTGATTTGACCTCTCACCGTGCCTCAGCTTTCAACTAGCCTTGGGGGGCTCGCCTCTCTGGGCCTCAGCAGCTGTCTCTTTTGCTCTACTGTGGGCTGGGTGCTCTACTAAATCCTTTCCAGATCTGTAATTATCTTTCCTGCTTGTTTTCAGTACCTGGGATCCTGGACCACAGACAAAGTTAAAGGAAGAGTCATGGAAATACTCTTTAGTTGGACAGTCTGGTTTCCAGAAGACATTAAGATCCGAGATGCTTATCAGATGCTGAAGAAACAAGGTCTCACTCCATGACTCATACTGCATTGCCTTTCTCACAGTACCTGTTTCTTTTTGCTTTTTTCGGTGTGCTTTGGAATTTTTTGGTGAAAATTGGACATCTTATATTAAGACAGAGGAGACTGAAACAAGTAATTTCCAATATCTGGAAATGGGCAGACCTTTCCTTCTGGTGGGCAGGAGCCAAGCTGGGTTTGAGATTGTTGTTGCTGTGGTTACCCTTGCTACACCAGACTTCAGATTCCTCCAGCGTTAGCTTGTGTTTAGGGTGGGGGCTGATTTGCTAGATTTTTTTCTCAATATCTGCTTCACTCTGAGTGTAAGGTCTTTCTTTAGTCCACACCTCGGAGAGGGTCTTATTCCCTTGCTTTTCCTGACAATAGGTGGTCCATTCTTAGTTGTTACTCCGCAGTGATGTCGTCATCTCTGCTCTGACTAGGCCTCAGTCTTAGGCAGGCATTGTGTCCCTGGACTCAGGAGAGACAGAGACACACACACTGATACCTCCAGAGGTTCTATATTCACTTGCAGAGTTTTGAATGTGTACGCTATCCATGCCTTTCTGTGTCCTGTGTGGAAGCTGGGCGTCCATGTTCCCTCTCCTTCGGGCTCTGTAGAGATAGGAACTTGGTTCAGAATGGACTATTTTCCTCTGTCACATGTACTCAATGTTTTTAGGAGTGTCAGGGATCCCCTTGTACTTTTTGGGCCTTGAGATATGTATCTGCACAAAGTGATCAGTATTTTTACATCGTAGAGCCCACCAGCCACAGGCTCTGGTTCTGCTCTCAGTAGGCTCTGACGTCTTCGTGCTGGTCCCTGGGTTCTCTGGAGGGAGGATGTGGATTATACCCTGGGTGTAGTCATTAAAGCTGTTGACAGTGTTTCCTAGCTGGACATCAGGAACCAGGGTCTATACCGGTTTATGCTGCTGAGGTCAGCGGGTACCCATATTAGGATCATCAGTTCATGAATTGCATGTTTCAGGAATCATAAAGCAAGATCCTAAACTACCGGTGGATAAAATCTTGCCTCCACCTTCTCCCTGGCCCAAGAGCTCCATCTTTGATGCTGACGAAGAAAAGTCAAAGGTAAGGCACTCTTCCATGACCTTGGTGGCCTACCTGGAATCTAATCATACTCCCTCTTTAGGGACTCCCTTCAGATATCCCAGGAATGTCTTCTGAACCCTTGAACCAAAGTATGGGAGAACATGGTAAGGGGGCTAGTGAGTTCTTTCTGGAGCAGGTTTTTATGAGTGAAACAGCATAAGGTCTGGGTATTTTCTGTAGTGTGGATGGTTGGTTATATCCAGTGTGTGTGGTATTGGGGAAGATGTTGGGGAGGAATTAATCCATTGTATGTTGCTTCAGGTCTTTTTAGTGCCAGTAAGCCTGCTTCCACCCATTTTTCTTTTACTACTGCATCCCAGAATCCTCAGACATCAGTAAAGAAAAGGAAGGGAAGGAAGGTGGTCGAAACTCAGGCCTAGACTTGGGGTAACCCAGAGAATCAGTGGTGGCAGTGCGTTGGGTCATTTCTGGTCTTCCTCATGCACAAGGTCTGTTAAGTATTGTGCTAGGAAAGCTCCAGGCCATATGTGTGTCTCTGTGGTACCCATTGCCTTCCAGCTGTACCTTTGTCCTCTTGGATCCACGTGTTCAGTGACCATGCATCCCTGTATGCAGATGAGCAGGGCTGTGCCAGGTTTTGCTACCTTTCTTTCTGTCTCCTCTCCTGCTGGTTCCTTACAATTGCAGAGGGTGGTAGGAACAAGGGAAGAGGTAGGTCATGGACTTCTGAGAAAGAGAAGGATCCTGAGTCACTTTGGGAAAGCTGTTTACACTCTCAGGGGCTCAGTGTCCCCATGTTTCCTGCCATCCATTCAACAAAGATAGAGTGACTCCTATGTGCTAGGTGTTCTGCTGGGCATCGGGAGTCACATCACCAAGCTCTGTTACAACGTAGAGTCCATTGTTCAGGACAACTCAACACTGTTGACACTTGGGCAAGATAGTTTTCTTGTTGGGGCTGTTCTGTGCACTGTAGGGTATTTATAGCATCCCTGGACTCTACTCACCAGATGCTAATAGCATCCCTAGTTGTGACAACCAAAGTATCTCCAGACTTTGCCAAATATCATCCTCCACCTTCCTACCCCATTGAAACTAGTGCCTGGGGAGGTGGTGGTAGTATATGAATGTGTGACTGCAAGGATTTGGTCAGAATATGCATATGAAATATATGGACTTATTGCTAATGCCATACACTGGCCATTTGACACAGAGGGGATTAGTTTCTTCTCTTTCTGTTCACCTTCAGCTTCTATCAAGGCTTCTGAAGAGCAGCCACCCTGAGGATCTGCAGGCTGCAAACCGGCTGATCAAGAGTTTGGTCAAGGAGGTGAATGTTTTTCCACCGGCTTCTGTAGAACCAGCCTTGGACAGGAGCTGCACAGTGTGTGTGAGCACATGTGATGGTGTAGACGCATTCCCAGACCACTGGGGAGAAGGTGGCCTCCTAGTCTGAGCCGGTGAACAGTCATGGTCTCCCCTAGGGCAGCAGGTGGTAAATGGAAGCAGGGACCGCACTATGTGCTTTCCAAGTGCTTCCATTCAGGAGTGCAAGGCATTTCACAGACATCATTTTCTGTCCCAGTGAAGGTATTGTGTGGACAGAGTCCAGGTTTGGGAATCTGTTTTTTGGAGAATTATGGCTGATGGTACAAAATAGGGGCTTGCTAGGCCCCCAGCAGCACCATCTTCCCCAGGAACCCAGGCTTTGAGGACTTTCTTCCCTCGCCGAGTGAACTTTACTTCCACTCATTGTTTAGTGATTTCCCTGAGCTTGCTCTCCACAGTGCAGTGCCCATTTCTCACCCCCATTCAGGCTTTATCTAGGACTCTGCCCCTCACTGCCATCCTCTCCTTTCTCCCAAAGGAGCAGGAGCGATCAGAGAAGGTGTCCAAGAGAGTCAGTGCCGTGGAGGAAGTGCGGAGCCATGTGAAGGTGCTGCAGGAAATGCTGAGCAGGTACCGCAGGCCGGGGCAGGCCCCACCAGACCAGGAGGCCCTGCAGGTACTCTTCTCTAAACAAAAATAAATAAATAAATAAGTAAAAAATTCAAGAGTAACTTGAGTAAAACCAACATACTAGAAAATTGCACATGTTGTGTACTTTATGTGTGTTGATGTGTCCATCTGTGCAGCCATCGTCACAATCAAGAATTCTTTAGATCCTGGATGCAAGTCTCTTATCAGACAATTTTCTCCTATCTTTTCACTGTTAACTGTATTTTGGAGCAAAAGGTTTTAATTTTGAAGTTGGACTTGCCTTTTTTTTTGATTGTTGTTCCTGGTGCCTTGACGTCATATCTGACACACCACCACCTGCTGTGTGGCCACTCAGTCTGTCTGGAGCTCTGCTTTCTGCTCTTCTCTGCTTTCCAGCTTTTTATGCTTCACCACACAGAAGAGACCTTTCAGAAAGTTTACCTGTCCTTCTATTTCATGAGGCTAGCAGAACTGAACTAGTCTTTTCCAGTACCACATTCTTGAGAGAAAAATCTGTTTGGCTGGCGTGACTCATGTATCTACCTGGGTCAGTCAGCTGTGACTAGAATTAGGCAGTTACGGAGAAACCTGTGCTGGTCTTCCTTCTGTGGCTGGAGGGGACTGCTCAGAAGAGTTGGGAGACTGGGCCAGGCAAACATTGCAAAACTGATCTGTGGTGAGGTTGTTACCAGACTACCTCTGCATTGGGGGTGCCCCTGCCTTGGCATAGTCCGGCACATTTTGCGTGTCAGGCAACCTCCAGGTTCTTGACTCTGAAGTGAAAAATTTAAGACGGGTCCAGGCGAAAGTGAATTTATTAAAGCTTAGGACAGTGAGGCAAAAGAAGAGTCCTTGGAGACAGGATCCAGGGTGAGCCTAGGACAAACTGCTGCTGTCCACTGCCCTCCTGGGTGCAAGTCTTGTCAGGACCCTCAGAGCTTAGGATAGAAGAAGCAAAGTACATACCTGAGGAAAATGGGGCTTGGGCATGCTCAAAGAAGGGTGTGGGCTGGTGTTCTTTGTCCTGAGTGTTTTATCTCTTTTCTGTAGGTGGGAATTTTAGGGGATATCCCAGCAGAGGATCTCAACAAAATATTTGTTATATTTCAGGTGTGTCGCTTTGTGTGCTCTGACCTATTGAAATGAGCATGTAGTGGGGTCCACGGTCATTTTCTGGTCAGTTTTACCTCTGTCTTGATTTAGTGTGAATCTAACTAGTTTTTGTTGTCTACCTCCCTATGACGGTTTAAACCATCTGCTCTTAGGCATCTTCATTTAGGGAGGGTAGGGTCTTGTGACTTATTAGCTGGCTGTTAATTAATTGTTTAGCCATTCCAGCCCTTTGTTTTAGTCATTCGTCTCAATTTTCCACATTCCACTTGCCAGGGAATTTTTTTTCTTTCTTTCTTTTTTTTTTTTGTTACCAACCTGCCTCTGCTATACCAGAGACCCTCAGGAGGGTTGGCACATTGCTCTTTTAAACAGCACACTTTTTCCCCAGCCAAGATAACAGCCAGTTGTGAGGTGGAGAGACGCAGCAGGAACGAAAACTTCATCTTTATAATGGATAAAACTGATATTGAAAAATGTGGCAAATAAGTATTGGCCAGTGGCTTCCTGATACTGAACCCTAGAATCAGGCAGGTTACCTGCCACCCAGGATGTTTCTGTTATACCACTGTCTTTCCCACCAGGGGTTTCTTCTTTAACACTTAGACCAGGTAGCAGCGGGGCTGAAAGTGGACTTCCTTCTGCTACAGGCAGGTAGCACTCAAGAGCAAAGCAGTAAAAACAGAAAATAAACAGGAAAAGAGCAAAGTGGGAAGAAGGGGTTCTTTTTTGCTTCCTCTCCCATACTCACCTGTTGGATATATTATTTCACCAGCCCCAGGGAGAGGGGCTCAAGTATTAACTTAGTTAATTGAGCTCCCTTGCAGGGAAGGAAACTTAAGATGTGCAGAAACTGTATCTCCTCTTCAGCAGTATGTGGATGGTGAAATTGTCTGGAGCACTCTCCCTATGATGCCAGAGACGAGATTTCTCAGATGTTGGGGATGGGGCCAATCATGGGAGGGAGTGTTGCTGTAAAGGGAAAATTGGCATTGGACAGCATTTGGATAAGGAGTCGCTGCAGGCTTCCATGGCGGTGGGGTGGGGTGGGGTGGGGTGGGGTGGTCCTCCATTGCTAAAACTGTTCTCAGCAAGGCAAGGGAAGGGAACTTGAAGAAGAGAATGCTGTACACTGATGTGTTGGGTTCTTTCTGAGCTAAGATCTTATTGCCCTTTTACTCGTTGTCTTAAAAAATTCCCACATAATTGTAGCCTAAACTGTTTTTGAAATGGTAACTGCCATGTTTCTTCAAAGCTGCAGTCATGAATTTGGGGCTGATTAAAGAGAACTCATGAAACACAGGCCCTGCTACTTACTTAGGAAGGCCCCAGGCCTCTCTGTGGGTCCTGTGTGTGTGGTAAACTGAGCTCTGTTTCCCAGGCTGTATATGAGAGGTGTGAGAAGCTGCGGCCCACCCTGTTCCGGCTGGCAGGTGACACCATTGATGATGATGACGCACTAGGTAATGGTTCTTTTTCTCTCGGTGCAGGTAGCACCCCAGGTGCAAAGTAGACATGCTGCTTCCTGTTGTGCCTCTGTGGTGCCAGTAACAAGGCAAAATGGACTTTTGCGTTTATGGTGTTGGGCTTAAAAAGACATGGCCTCAGTTTACTTAGAACTGCTTTCTCGAAGAATCTAGCCTTGAACAAGTCAGCAGCTGATCTGAAGGCATAGGAAGGGGAAGAAATGTACCATGTAGATTGAGTATGAGAGTAAAAGAAGAAAGAGAAGATACTGCTGATAGCTTGAAGAAAGGCTGGACATTCCAGAGGCCAAGAAACATTTGCCAGTGGTTATCTTGGAGGTCCCCCTATCCTGAGTGCCTTCAGGGACTGGCTACATAACCCAAGGAATCAGGCTGATGAGGGGAAGAGACAGTGGTAGGGAGAGTGGAGAATTTTAATACCTGAACAGGGTATTAAAAAACATTTAAAGATTTTTGTTGAAAATCTGAAAACATATCAAAAGAGGGGAATAATAGAATAAAATTCTATGTGCTTTTCAGTTATCAACAGTGATCAACTTGTAACCGATCTTTAAATTTTGTTTCTTCTGTACTGCTCTCCCCACTGCTGCCATTCTGTTTTGAAGCAAATTCCAAACATTTCAAAGTCATTAAATATTCAGTGTTCAGAGTTCCCTGGCACTTCGCTCTTTAACCATCTCTTGCTGTTTGCTCCCTTCCTTTTTAAACAGTTTGTTCTAAAGCAGATTCAAAAGAAAAGCCATACTTTGAAAGTGGTTGGTATTTCCTAAGTCTTTTAATGGACAGCCCCCATTCTCTCCTTATTTTTTGCATGAAAAATATATCCTTTGACTTGTACAGTTTCTTTTGGTCCCAGTTTTCTGATGGCATCCCCATGGTATTTAGCATGATATTTTAAAAATAAATTCCTGATATTTCTTATAAATTGCATTGGGAGCTTGATCAAATTCAGGTTCAACTGGGGTAGGTGAAGGGGGAAGTAAGAATAGTTCCCAAGTGGTGTTCAGGAGGCCCATGGTGTCTGGTTGGGGACAAGAAATAAATAGTGGTCACTGCAGAGGAGTAATCTTCTGGCACTTGGGCTTGCATAGCCCCTGGTCCTGTGCTCTTCTTGCTCTCTCCCAGGATAGAGTTTTTACAGGTAAACCAGACCATGAGATACTTGTAGTTTTTGAAATCTGCTTATATTTTATACTTTCAGGACGTTTTACTTTGGACATTAAATTTTCCTCAGGAATCCTTTTTTAAGAGAGATTTTATTTATTTGTTTTTAGAGAAGAGGGGAAGGGAGAGAGAAGAAAAGGAGAGAAACATCAATGTATGGTTGCCTGTTGTGTACCTCCAACTGGGGACCTGACCCGGAACCCAGGCATGTGCCCTGACTGGGAATCTAACCGGTGACCCTTTGTTTCGTAGGCTGGCACTCAATCCACCGAACCACACCAGCCAGGGCCTTCTCAGGAATTCTTGATCTGTAGTTAGATTTTTTAAAGGTAGATTCATGTACCAGTTTGTTCCCTACAGACTTAGAAGCTTTTCAATAACTGAATAAAGTACCAAAATTTTTTAAATATTCATATTCACATTGATAAAACAGCTGTTTTAATTTTAGATTAATTAAAATAAAATTTTAGTTCTTTAGTTGATGGAGCCATATTTCAGCTGTTGGCCATCACGTTGGCCAGTACAGGTATAGGAGGTGAAAAATTTATTTACTCATTTATTTATTTATTTATTTTCAGAGAGGGGAATGGGAAGGAGAAAAAGAAGGAGAGAAACATCAGTATGTGGTTACCTTTCTTGTGCCCCCTACTGGGGATGTGGCTCACAACCCAGGCATGTGCCCTGACTGGAAGTCGAACCTGCGACCCTTTGGTTTGCAGCCTATACTCAATCCATTGAGCTATACCAGTCAGGTTGTTTCTCTTACATCTTTTTAAAAAAAAATATTGAGGGATTTATATTTTAAAATCATCTATTTTATTTATTTATTTTTTAGAGAGGGAGAGAGAGAAACAGTGGTATGTGAATGATACATGGATCAGTTGCCTGTTACATGCAACCTCCACCCCCCACCCCCCCAACTGGCCTGCAAAACACGCATGTGCCCTGACCAGGAATTGAACTGGTGACCTGTTGTTTGTAGGCTGGCACTCAATCCACTGAGCCACAGCAGCTAGGGCCCTCCTATATCTTGAAAACTGAAAGTGTTGGGGTTCAGGGATTGAGTGACTAGATGTAATAGAGGGGCCTGATCACATGATCTAGGGGGAAGGGGCATGGATATGCTACTGAATCTGGCAGAGCCATGTGATAGCTATATTGTGGAATGGCTTCAAAAAGACTGAGGTTGTTGGTAGCTAAACCTGGGGATTCTGAGTTTTATCTCATTTTTCAGTGGAGATTCTTCAGGCAAATGACCTCCTCACCCAGGGAGTTCTGCTGTACAAGCAGGTTATGGAGGGTCGTGTCATCTTTGGGAGCACAGTGAGCAGCACAGTGGGAGACATACCTGTCTCCAGAGGTATGTGCAGAAAACCTCCCCCCCTTCAACTTTGATGCAGCCTGCAAATACTAGAAAAGAAATGACTCTCAGGGTATTCTGGGTTATGATGTAGAAATGAGAAAACTTGACCTCTTTTTGTTTTCTGCAAGAAGTGCCACATATGCTTTGATGAGTTGACTGACAGGCTGGACCCCAGCTTTGGCTATAAACAGAGGCAGGTGGCTATATTGTGTCCAAGTTTATATTCCACTTCTCACAAGTGCATACTTATGGGAGCTGGAGACCAAGAAAGTGATCTTTTTCAGTGGTTCCTGATGCCAGGCCATCTGTATCAGAATCATCTGTAATACTGGTTAAAATGCAGACTCTTAGGTCTCTGGCTCGGACCCTCTGAATCAGGATGACTTATAGGTAGGCCTGACATTTGCATTTTTATTAAGCACTGCAGGTGATTCTGATTAGCTGTGGTCAGAAGCCTTGAAAAGGCTCTGAATTGGAGAAGACAGCTCTGCTGTGTCCAGACCATCAGAGGAGGACTTTGGCTGCTGGGTGGGAAGACAGTCACTCTGGCTCCCTCACTTTAGAGCCAGCTCAGGCTATGTGTCAAGCCTTTCTCCTGAGTGTGTGTTGAGGGTGGGGTGGTGTGATGTCTTTTGATTGGAAGGAAGCCTGAGGGAAGCTGATAGGCTTTTAAGTGGAGACTTGGCTCTTATTCTGACTGACTTCCTAAATCTGTTTGTTTCTAGTCTTCCAGAATCCAACAGGCTGCATGAAGAACTGCCTGATGGACTTGGAAGTGGACAGTGGATCTGAGCCAGCTGGGACCGGAGTACCATCTCTACTTCATCAGGACCTGGCAGCCTTAGGTAAGGGTGGTTGACTGTGGAGAGGTACTGAATGGTCCTGGCTCCCAGGGATTGTGAGTAAGCTGGTTCCCCTTGAGGAGATCATTCCTGTTTTAGAGAGAATTGGGTGTACTGGGAAGCTCAGAGAGGCCTTTTTTCACTTAGTCTTAGATCTGCCATGGATGGGGTGAATGACTGGCTACTTTGCTTTGCCTAGGCTTTCTAAGTGTTCTAGAAAGGTTGGACATGGGGTCACTCTCCAGCTCCTATCAGGTAGTTACTGGTGTGCATCTCTCTGTTCCTTCCTTGTAGGAATCAGTGATACTCCAGTTACCAACAAGGTAAGGACACTCTTCTCAAGGGCCACAGAGGAGAGCAGAGGGGAGGTCCTCTGAACCTAGTTCTGTCTAGGGGACGAGGGGGGCTACAGCATAGCCTAGGGGGTGCTTGCAGACTTGGAGGCCAAAGCCTCCTCAGCTCTACTGTCTAGGCTTGCAACCCCAAAGGGAAGACATCCTTTTCTTCTCATACCCCTGCCCTCTTCAGTAGTGCCCTCCTGCTTACTGAAGGTCTACTTGGAGTCATGTTCTCTTGCCCTTTCTTGCCTACCTGTGTCAGGCAGTGAAGTCAGCCTGGGCTGCAGTGGCTTTTGTGGGGTCAAGAGAGCTATGATGTGCTGTCACAATGGCTGCTGGTCATTCATGCCCTGGCCTTATTTTATTTTATTGTTTGTATTTGTTTTTGGTGTTCTGATTGGGAATCCAACCTGCGACCTTTTGTTTTGTGGGACAGCACCCAACCAATTGAGCCACACCAGTCAGGGTCTGGCCTTATTTTAGCCATTGCTGGTTTGGCAGGTTGCTGGGCAGAGCTGCTGTAAGGAAGAGAGGAATCCTGCCAGCACACTGCCAGGTGGTGGTGTTGAGAGCCCGTCTGCAGAAAGGAGCTTGCTGGATCTCTTCTCCTCACAGCCACCCTTGGGCCCTTCGTGAGTCTGTGGGTGGGGAGGGTGAGGGGGCTCCTCTGTGCAGCTCATGCTCATGGCACCAGGGCTGGGGTGACCCTCCAAGGCAGGCAGAGCCCTCTTACTCTGGAAGGGCTTCTTTGTTTCCCCTTTTCTTCCTTTACTCCCATTGTAAGTCAGGGAAGGGCACACTCTGGCCAGGACCTCTGGAGGTTTTGTTTAAGCAGTAGCAGCAGTAGATAATGGTGTTTTTGTTGTGCATAGGTGGGTTTTTTCTTTTATAATCATAATTTAATTTGAAATGAAGCAAAATTTGGTCATGAGAGTAACAGTTAGTATAGAAAGTCCCAAATATCAACCCCTAAGACAATGTTGAATGTTCCTTCTTTGCTTTTTCTCTATACATGTAGTAATGTTACTGTCTCTTATTTTTATGCAAATGAGGTCATAATTTATGAACTGTATTCCAATGTGGTTTTTTCATATAACATTAATATCTTTAATATGTTTTCATGTCAGTTTATATAAATTTGTTTCATCCTTTCTAGTCGTTATATAGTAATTCACATATACACATATACATATATTTAATCAGATCCTTGTGGATCTTTACATGGCTTCTAGTTTGGAGGCACTTGGGTAGTGGTTACAGTACATATTTCCTAAAAGTAGAGGTGTTCCAAGCTGTGAATATAAATACATTTCCCAAGATCCTGTCTGTTTGCCTCTGGAAATATTGGAGCAGTTTGTCTTCTCTCAACAACCTGAGTGCCTGTGACTCTGATGAAGAGAGACCACAGGGCTCTGGAGGCAGTAATGTGCCAGGTGGTCATACTTACTGCATCCAGAAGGGCTTTTTCCAGTTTACTTTCTCTACTCACTCCGTAGGGGCCAGTCATCATTCTGATTTTGGTGGGTTACTTCTGTCTGGACTTATAGTTTTCCAAAAACATTTTCAATTTATATTGCAAATGGACAAAATGATAAAGATGTATGAATAAAGTGGTCCATGTAACTTGTGTTACCACTTTCCTGCATTACTTCACCCTGGTGATCACATGAGGGAAACTGAACCTGATGGAGCTTCTATTGTCAGGGACTGCCTGACAGGCACATTAATTACCTCACACATTCCACTAAGTGTTTCTCAAACATTTTTCTCATTTAATTCTTGGGATACCGTTAGAAAACTGCAGCATAGGTTAAATTCTTACATAAAGTCATATACCTCTAAAATATATATACACATACCTATGCACATATATATATATTTCTTTTTTTCCCCCTTGTTCTTCAGAAATCCTAATTACAGATTCCTGGAATTCTTGCTGATCTTGATATTTATTTTATTTTTTTCTTTTTGCAGAAATTATATTCCACAGAAAAACATCCCCAAGGAAGTGCTGCCAGGTACTAAGTCATCTCCTGGTTGGTCCTGGGAGGCTGGCCCATTGGCTTCATCCTCATCTTCCCAGAATACACCTCTGGCTCAAGTGTTTGTCCCTTTGGAGTCTGTTAAGCCCAGTAAGTGTAGTTTCACCCTGTTATTTTCCTTCTCTCTATTAGATGCCTAGCGTTATCCCCTCTGGATTCATAGGAATGGCTCTTAAACTGGGGGAAATGAGTGGTGGAAATTTTGCCTCAGGGCAGAGGATAAGGAGGTGACTTCATATCTTTTAGTTAATATTTTCCTGAATGTTTTCTGTGTCTTGGGGTGGACACAGTGAAGGGTATTGGCAGGCAGGATTTAATTAGGGTGCTTGAGTCTTCTTAGGGACATGATGTTCATTCATTTGGAATTCAAGAAGGTAATGTCCAGTGTGGCCTGAAATAACTCAGAAGAGGCAGAATTAGAGGAAGGGGACAATTTGGCTGGTGATTCTCTTCTAGGGATCCTCATTAAGGCGGGAAAGTAGATGTTACCCTTTTTTATAAAGGAAAGGAAACTGAAGGCCCAGCTATGTATGGTGACTGCCTGTGCCCAGCACTAGTATGTGAGCAGGAAACAACTGGGCTTTAGATCTCGGGCCTGGCCCTCTTCTGTGGGCATAGGGCCCTGTTGTGGCTTGGTGTAGTAAGTTCAGGCTACAGAGAGCCCTGGAACCAGGCCGAGGAAGTTAAACAGTCAGTGAGCAGTGGGAGCCCTTTGCATACTTACTTTTTTAACTTTTGATTAAAAAAAAATCTATGTTCAGCCCTGGCTAGTATGGCTCAGTGGTTGAGTATCAGCCAGCAAAACAGAGGGTTGATGGTTCGATTCCCAGTCTAGGTCACATGGTTGGGTTGTAGGCATTAATGTTCCTTTTCTCTCTTTCTCCCTCCCTTCCCCTCTAAAAATAAATAAATAAAGTCTTAAAAAAAATAAAAACAGTTCATGTTCAAGGGTAGTTGATTGGTTTTGATAATTGTGCTGTGGTTTTATAAAATGTTAACATTCGAAGAAGCTGGTTGAAGGGTATATGGGAATTTTTGTTACCTTTGTAACTTTTTATAAGACTTAAATTATTAAAAACAAAGTAAAAAAATTAAAAGCAAAATTATACATGTTCAATGTAGAAATTTTAGAAAACAGAATAGACTAGAAAATTAAAATCATCTGTATCATTATCACCCAGAGATGGAAGTTCTGTTAATGTCTTAATGTCTGAGTTTTGTTTCTTTTTTCTTTCTTTCCTTTCCTTTCTTTAAAAATTTTTTTTATTTATTAAAAATTTTTATTTTATTGATTATGCCATTGCAGTTGTCCCATCTCCCCCCTTCATTCCCCTCCACCCTGTATACCCTTCCCCCACCATTACCCCCCTTTAGTTTATGTCCATGTGTCACAAGTTGTTTAGATTCTATATTTCCCATACTATTCTTGCCCCCCCCATTTATTTTCTACCTACCATCTATGCTACTTATTTTCTGTACCTTCTCCCCCCTTCTCCTCCTCCCACTCCCCTGTTGCTAACCCTCCTTGAGATCTTCATTTCTATGTTTCCACTCCTGATCTAGCTGTCCTTTTAGTTTGCTTTCGTTTTAGGTGTGGTTGTTAATAACTGTGAGTTTGCTGTCCTTTCACTGTTCATCTTTTTTATCTTCTTTTTCTTAGATAAGTTCCTTTAACATTTCATATAAGGGCTTGGTGATGATCAACTCTTTGAACTTCATCTTATCTGAGAAGCACTTTATCTGTCCTTCCATTCTAAATGAAATCTTTGCTGGATGGATCATTCTTGGATGTAGGTCTTTGGTTTTCTTGACTTGGAATACTTCTTTCCAGCCCCTTCTTGCCTGTAAGTTCTCTTTTGAGAAATCAGCTGACAGTCTGATGGGAACTCCTTTGTAGGTGACAGTCCCCTTATCTCTTGCTGCTTCTAGGATTCTCTCCTTCATTTTAATCTTGGTTAATGTAATGATGGTGTGCCTTGGTGTGTTCCTTCTTGGTTCCAACTTCTTTGGGACTCTCTGAGCTTCTTGGAATTCTATTTCCTTTGCCAGATTGGGGAAGTTCTCTTTTATTATTTGTTCAAATAAGTTTTCCACTTGTTGCTGTTCCTCTTTCCCTTCTGGTACCTCTATAATTTGAATGTTGGAATGTTTAAAGATGTCCTGGAGGTTCCTAAGCCTCTCCTCATTTTTTTGAATTCTTGTTTCTTCATTATTTTCTGTTTGGTCATTTTTTTCTTCCTTCTGATCCATTCCCTTGATTTGAGTCCCAGTTTTCTTTCCATCACTATTGGTTCCCGGTGCATTTTGCTTCATTTCAATTAGTTTAGCCTTCATTTGTTCCTCTAATTTGTGACTAAAACCAACCAGTTCTGTGATCATCCTGATTACCAGTGTTTTGAACTGTGCATCTGATAGGTTGGCTATATCTTGATAGCTTAGAAGTATTGGCTCTGGGGCTTTGAGCTCTTTTTCTGCTTGAGCCATAATATTTTGGTCTGTTCCCACCTGTTACATATAAGGGGTGGAGCCTTATATGTTCACCAGGGTCGGGTGGGGCGACCCAGTTCCTGGGTTGTGATGCTGTATGTGGGGGCAGGGTCAGAGAGGGGCAATGGTGTTTGTTCTGCTCTTTCTCGGATTTTGGTTCCCTCTGCTGCTTTCTGCAAGCAAACCGGGCCCCCCTGGTGCTGGCTCCCGGGTGTGTGGGCCTGCGCACCCTCCAGGACCCTGTGGGTTTCTCCAACAAACTCTCTGTGAGCCTGGGAGCTTCTCCTGGCGGCACCTCGACCCCGACAGTTTTTCCGATTGGTGCTTTTAGACTTTAATTCCCATCACTGGGGCCCTAGCCTGTGCAGTCTGTTTCACTGCTTGCTCCTTCGTCTGGTTTATCTACGCACGAATGTGCGACTGCGGTCAGCCAGCTGCCTTGCGCCCTCACTGAGTGCGCCCATTGCCACCCCACGCCCGGGATCTGCCAACCGCCGCCTGCACGCCTGGGTTGGTCCGGCCACTTTTTCCTGCCAGAATCCGTCTCCACCAGTTGGTGACCCTGCCCCCCTTACCAGTCTGGGTGAATGGTTCATTGTTGTCAAAGACTTCTGTACAGTTCAATTTTCTGTGTGTTGGTTGCATTTTTGTTACTAAAACTTTATTGTCTTTAAACTTGGTTGTGCAAGGAAGCACAGTGTTTCCACCTATGCCTCCATCTTGGACAGAAGTCTCCCTTTCTTTTCTTTCTTTTCCTTTTCTTCCTTTCCTTTTCTTCCTTTCCTTTTCTTCCTTCCTTCCTCCCTCCCTCCCTTCCTTCCTTTTCTTATCCTCACTTGAGGACATGCTTATTGATTTTAGAGAGAGGGAAAATGATGGGGAGAGAGAGGGAGAGAAACATCAATGGGAAAGAGGAACATTTATTGGTTGCCTCTTGTACCTGCCCTGAATGAAGACCAAACCCGCAACTCGGCCATGTGCCCTCACCTGGAATGGAACTGGTGACCTCTCTGTTTATGGAATGATGCTTCATCCATTGAGCCATACCAGTCAGGGCAACATTTAAACATTTTTGATCTGCATTGTCAAGCTTCCCTCTAGAAAGTTTGCCTTAACTCAGTGCTCTCACCTATGATCCCTTGTAGCTATTCTCAGTCTTTTGATTCTTTGGCAGTTTCATTATTAAACTATGTTTTTATTTGTTTTTAACTGTATTTTTATATTTTCATTTTGATAAATGATGGTTGGCATGAGACAAGGACTCATTAAAGTTTGTTTTCAGCTTCTTAGCCAGATGTCTGCTATTTATTGATTGGCCACCAGTTTTGAAATAGATGCTATTAACATATTAAATCCTCATACTTGGGTCTGTTCTGCATGCTCTGCTTTATACCATTTTGCTTGAACTTGTTTTGTACATATCTGAGTGTTCATTAATGCAAATAGGTGTTCCTCTCTCTCTTTGTTTTTAATGGTCAGTCTCATGGTTCTCCCACCCCAAATTAGCTTTAGAATAATTTCCTAGCCACATTAAAACAATCATTTTCGGATTTCTGTTGGAATGCCATTAAGCTGATTGATTTGAAGAGATCTGCTATCTTTGAAGTTTTGCGAAGTTGAATATAGGAGAGTATGTGTTTAGTCATACACAAGAGATGGAAAGGACAGAGGCCCACACTTAGCAGTGCTTATTTCTGTGTAGAATTACGGTGGTTTTTATTTTGTTCTTTGATATCCTGTATTTTCTGTAGTGTTCATACATTGTTTCGTTCATAATCATATCTCCTTTTTTAAAAGTTCTTATTTAAAAAAAAAACACTTGGTAATGTGCTTAGGATGATTGGATGGCAGAAGGGTCATAGGCATCCAACTAGAAGCACTGAGGGCTTGGATTATGGCAGTGCAGAGGGTTAAGTTTAAGAGCTGCTGTGACCCGAGGAGTGACAGCATTTGGAGAGAATGTAAATGTCTTCTTCAGGCTTGGTGGTCTGGCGATTGTAGCAGCACTAACCCTTTCGGTTGGCCCTTCTCTACCAGGCAGCCTGCCTCCAGTCATCGTGTATGACCGGAATGGATTCCGAATTCTGCTCCACTTTTCCCAGACAGGGGCCCCGGGTCACCCTGAGGTGCAGGTGCTGCTGCTCACCATGATGAGCACTGCCACTCAGCCTGTCTGGGACATCATGTTTCAAGTGGCTGTGCCAAAGGTGAGCTATCTGCTGGCCAGATTCTTGGAGCTTGTTAATAAAGGCTCTCATTTCTGAGTACCAGGTCCTTTGCTGGAACATTATCTATTAGGTAAAAGGACGGAATCTTCACTCAAAAGTCATACGAGATAAAATGGGAACTCTGTTGGCTCTTTTTATTATGGATTCTTGATGCCTGGATCCAGGTAGGTTCTTACATGATTCCTTAAGAATCTGTCTCTTCCCGTCTCCTGACTTTGCTTTCCTCTTTGGAGCCTGTTCTCTGACAGACTTCTCCACAAAGGAGAAAAATGGTACTAGGAGCTCCGGAATTACATGGTCCTTAGCCCTTTTCTCTCAGAAAGAAACTCTCCTAATGCTTTACACCTAAAACTAATACAAATAATATTGATTATAAACTGTAATTGAAAAATTTAAAAAAGTATTTTAAAGATTAAATTAAATAGTGAATATGGAAGAAGAAAACAGAAAGAACGAACCTCTGATCTGGCACGAAGCATGCAGACTGCCAGAGAAGAGGACAGGAGTGGCACTGTGGTGTTACCTGCATACATTAGCAATAACTTGGGTTCAGGGATATGAGGTAGTCTGGCCAATTTGGATAGTAGGGTTACCCCTTTTCAACGGGATTAGGGCCCCACTGAGTTAACAGCCATACCGGAATCACAAATGGGGAAGGGGCATGTCCTGAACAGAAAGGTTCAAGGCAAACAAAATTAAAGATATGCATTTTCTGATCCTTACGGTGATCATGTGGGGCAATGCTGTGGTTACTTCTGTTTTATAAATTATCAGTCTAAGGCTCGGGAAGGTTAAATATTTTGCCCAAGATCGTAGAGCTGGTGAGAGGCAGAGTTAGAATTCAACCCAAGATGCACCCTCACTTTGCATGTGCCTCTTTGAAGCCACACTCTGACTCATGTCAGACACATTCTGTGTATGGAAGGAGTGGTCTTTGGATCCTGTCATCAGTGGGTGGGTGCAGGTCAAGCTTTCCTGTTCACCTGATCTCCTTATTGAAGCTGTTATTTATTAGGAATGAGTTATATGTTGGATTCCCCCATCCCCTGTAGTCCATGAGAGTGAAACTGCAGCCAGCATCCAGCTCCCAGCTTCCAGCATTCAGTCCTTTGATGCCTCCAGCTGTGATCTCTCAGATGCTGCTACTCGACAATCCACACAAAGTAGGTTCTGGTATCTTTAACACCAGGGAGATGGGGCCCTGAACTGTGGGGTGGCAGCTTGGTACATGGACAGAGGCATATTGAGGTCTTGCTCTGAAGTCTCTGGTGTGGTTGGGAGTGGTGGTGGGTTGGTTCCTGCCAGAGTGTGTTTTCTTCTGAGGCTTAATTGAAAGAATACCTGTGACCAGATTGTTGTATCTGGGAAGCAAGGGAATGACACAGACTCTCTGTAATATGAGTAGTCTTCCTAAAGGGAAGCCTGTCTGTTGTCCTCAGCTGATCTCTGAGCAGTGGTCCAATTGAGGATTGCACAAGTGGGAAAGGACTTGCAGGATGTATGCCTAGCTCCCCTTGTGTTTTGGTCCCCAGGGGTCTGCGCCAGGGTGTTCTGTCACAGTTGTGTGAAGCCATCACCTGGCTCAAGTTAACATGAATACACTGTTCTTTGGTGACTACTGGATGGGGAAAGGCTTTTACTTTGTGCTTGTCTCTCTGTTGCTCCTCACTAATTTACCATCTTGTATCTTTGCGCAGGAGCCCATCCGGTTACGGTATAAGCTGACATTCAACCAGGGCGGACAGCCTTTCAGCGAAGTAGGAGAAGTGAAAGACTTCCCAGACCTGGCAATCTTGGGTGCAGCCTAACGTTTCACAAGACAAGTTAGGATCCAAGCATCCTGCCATTCAAGTTTAGGCAGTGCTGCTTGTGCTAATTAGCTAGGACTAATCATGGTGACCTAGTGCAAAGTGCCAAGAGTTCTGTCCTGATTCAGGCTCTGGATGCTAATCACCAACCTCTGACTTGTTCTGCAGATTGTGTGTGTGTGTGTGTGTGTGTGTGTGTGTGTGTGTATGGGTGTGTGTGGTATGGAGTTCAGGGGAGGGAGGAACAGAACTTGGGAAAAGGGCTGTATGGGAAGCACTAAAGCATTTGTGATAACCACCTGCTACAATCATATCTGTTTCTGTATGTTTGGACACTGATCTCTCTGGTCTGGTTGGATGTTTTATAAGCCAAAGCTGTTGTTGTTTTCATGTATTATCTTTCCATTCATCCACTCTGTGCCTTGTCAGCCTTCAAAAGTCTTGGTTGCTCCCAGGCTACTATTCTCAGGGACCTTAAAAGGAACCTACTTAGTTGGTTTTGGGGCAGAATATGTCTTCTGGGGCATTCTCTTTTAAGAAAGACCTTGTCTCCATTTCCATTAGGGAATGCTGCTTGCAAGTATTCCAGAATATCTTCTCAGTGGAATGCTTATTGCACTGTTTTCCATGTGAGGGGCTGCCAGTAGACCAGAAACCCATACCTGGTGGGTCAATCATGTCCTTTACCACTGTGCCTTAGAATCACCCTTAGATGGGCCCTCCAGGCCAGAGGGAAAAACAGATCCTAGGCCTCATTCAGACCTCAGTTTCTGTGGATTGTGCAGCTTGTCTGGGCCCTTACTCAGGACCCTCATCTCCATCCTTATCCTCTTTACAGGCATTTACCTAGAGTTCTTTTTGATACAGTGCTAGTTATTATAAATCATAGCTAACAGGCTCCCTGGAATGTTGCCTTCACAACCCAAGATGAAAAACTGTGATGCAAATAGATATGAAAAGAGCTTAGTAGTGATTTAAGTGGTGACTAAATACAGAAAGTCATTGAATAAATACCTGTGTAGCAATATACTTTGTGGAGTTTTGAGTAACTAGGAGCTTCAAAAGCCATTGCATTTAGAAATGATGGGGTTAAAGGGAACTGTCGACCATTGAGGAAGTAAGGAAGACTTTATGAAGGATATGAAATCTTAACAACTGATTCAGTGAAGAGAGAAGCCCTGGGGATCTGAACAACGCTGGAAAGAGATGTGGATTTTTGTTTTGAAGGAAAATTCAGGTGTACAATCTATACTTAGCACCTATTATATGCTAAGCACTTTGCGCATGTTTTAGAAGTCCTGCTTGGCCTGATTGGTGGGAGAAAGCTGACCTTGGCTATGATGGCCTGGTGAAGGACTTCAAAATCCCAGCAGCTCACCTTGTCTTGGCAGGATTCTACCTCAGAAACTGCAAGGCTCCATTTGGGGCTTTTTATTATGAAATCTGGCACTCTGTAGACTGATCTTTCAATATCTGCATTTAGTTGGAAATCTGCTAACACTAATTGGTGGGAAAGGTGCTATAAAAAACAAGATATGCTAATTTTTAAGCAAATGTGAAAACTCATAAATGATGGGCTGCTTTCTTCATTTGGCCTAATGCACATATGGTTCATTTTAATCTAAAGTTACTTTTATGTTCACATGCTCTGTATAGCTTTTATAGGCTCTAAGCTACTTCATAGTCTGTAATGACAGTGTTGGCCTAGGAAGAATGTCCCATCAAAATGTGTGAATGAGGCTTACATGTGAAAGAGTCTTATCCTGTTGTCAGAGGTAACTTGTGTGTGTCTGAACATTCTTCTGTCTTCTGGCAGTGGTATTCTGCTTAGGTGGAGTTGAATAGGACAAGAGAGTTGGGGGTGGGGTCCTGAAAGTGACTCTGGTTTACGTTATCAGTGCCTTCTAATTACCAAGTTCAGTGACCACTTAAGGCTCAACTCTTACCCTCTTATTCAAGTATTTGACCAGCTACTATGAAGCAGATACTGTTGTAGGCACTGTGGATACAGTAGTAACAGAGTCCTTGCCCTCCTGCATCTGCCATGCTAGTGAGGAGAGGCCAGTCCCTATTACCTGGTAGAGGTGATCAGTAAGGCACTGATGATCAGTGTTTTTTCCCTGTGCTGAACTCCTGGGATTTGTCTTACTCCTAATTCTTTTTTTTTTTTTTTTAAATTATTTATTTATTTATCTTTAGAGGGGAAGGGAAGGAGAGAGGGAGAGAAACATCAACGTGTGGTTGCCTCTCATGTGTCCCCCACCGGAAACCAGCCCGCAACCCAGGCATGCGCCCCGACCGGGAACCGAACTGCAATCCTGTGGTTCACAGGCCTAGCGCTCAATCCACTGAGCCACACCAGCCAGGGCTTACTCCTAATTCTTTACCTGCCTCTGTGCCTCTCCATCTGTCCCTTAAGTATGGTGTTTTCCCAGGGTTTAGTCCTTAGGACTTGACTAAGCACATCTGGGCATTTAACTTCTAGATGGGGCCTAGACCTCCATTTCAAGCTTCTACTTCTGTGCTGACATCAGATCCATGTTTTTTGTTGTTGTTGTTTTTATAGTTTTTTTAAAGATTTTATTTATTTATTTTTAGAGGAAAAGGGAAGGAGAGAGGGAGAGAAACATCAATGTATGGTTGCATTTGTGCATCCCCTGCTGGGAACTGGCCTGCAGGGAACCTGCCTGCAACCTGGGCATGTGCCCTGACTGGGAATCTAACCGTGATTGTCTGGTTCGCAGGCCCGCGCTCAATCCACTGAGCTACACCAGCCAGGCCCCAGATCCATGTTTTAAGCCAACAGTGGCAGTGTGTCCGTTTATCTTGAGGTTCCACTGTTGCCTCAAACTCCCAATGTTTAGAATGGAACTCAACCTTCTCATTTCCACCTACATTTTCTTTTATTTGAAAGTATCTATCTGATCCTTCATGGATCCTTCATTCCTGCTCCATCCATTCTACTTAATACTCTTGTTTCTAGTGTTTATTTCTATATACAACCATATTTTGCCCTCCCCTGCATTCATGTTAGTCACCTGCCTCTCAGTTCTCTGAGCAGTGATACTTGCCACCACTAGAATTTTCTGACAATCTGTGTTCATGGATCCCTTGCTGAAAAATTCTGCATGATTCTTAATGTCTGAAAAGCCTATTGCAATCAAATGGAAGTTGCTTACAGTGCCCTCCTGTAACTGTGTGCCCTACCCACTGACATCATCTGCCAAAAATAGAGCACACTCTCCACAGCCACAAGAAAGTTGGTTGTGTGTGGTTTTTTTTTAAGAATATTTATTGATTTGAGAGAAACGTAAACATCGACTTGTTGTTCTACTTATGCATTCATTGGTTGATTCTTGTATGTGCCTTGACTGGGAATTTTACCCTCAACTTTGGTGTATTGGGACAACACTAACCAACTGAGCTACCCAGACAGGTAATTAATAAAACATTACCTGTCATGTTTTTTATTTATTTTATTTTTGTAATTGTTGTTCAATTACCATCGTCCCCATTTTTCCCCATTACTCTCCCCTTCCCTACCTGTCCCCACCTCCCATACCCCACATTCAATCCTCCCCACCCTTTGTCTTTGTCCATGGGTCCTTTCTACATGTTCTTTGACTTGACTCTTCCCCTTTTTTCCCTGTTATCCACCTCCTCCCTCCCCTCTGATCATTGTCAGTTTGTTCTTTATTTCCATGTCTCTGGTTCTGTTTTACTTGCTTTGTTTTGGTGATTATGTTCCACTGATAGGTGAGATACCTGTCATGTTTTGATGATGTTTTCTCTTGTCCCTTTCCACACCTGCAGTTTACTCCTCCCTTTATTTCTTCAGTGAATGTGAAATGCTGCTTCATCTGTGTGTCACTGAGAGTAACTGGGCATTAGAGAGAGTAAATGTTGAAAACAGGATAAATGACTTAACCAAAGGACAGGAGTTTTACCTACTAAAGATAATATAAAATGAGAGAATACAAAAGGTAGACAGCAAAGGCGATATTCTCTTTAGCACTCTGCATCTCTAAAATGCAGAGTGCTGGACTACTACAGTGTTTACAAGTCACAACTTTTTTTTTTACTCCTCATCTGAGGATATGCTTACTGATTTTTAGAGCAAGAGGAAGGGGGGGAGAAGAGAGAGACAAATATCAATGTGAGACAGAAACATGGGTCAGTTGCCTCCTGTACACCCTGAGTGGGGTTTGAACTTGCAACCCTGGTGTGCGCCCTGGCCAGGAATTGAACCCTCAACCTTTTTGGGGTACAGGATGATGCTACAACCAACTGAATCACCTGGCCAGGGCACAAGTCACAAATTCTTTAAATATATTCCAATATAGAAGACACCCAGCCCCAAAATAGAAAATTTTGGGGTCAATCAGGGGTCCTTTTTTTTTTTTTAAACTAAGAAAAGGGTAAGATTGTGTCCTGGAATGGTAGCTATGATTTCTTTGTTTTTTCTTTTTTTAAAGGTATGGTTTGACATGTCATCTGGAAAGAGGTGGAGCTGAGTAGAGACAAAGCAGGGAGTGTCCTTGATAAGATCATACAGTTAAGATACAATGTCAGCTGGAATGAAAAAAGCTAGGCCTTTTGCTGCCCTTGTTCAAGGCAGTTGAACACTAGTTTATTTGAATAAAGGTTGCATTTTAAAAAGCATGAGCACTGACTGGTGTGGCTCAGCGGGTTGAGTGTCATGCCCAAACTGAAAGGTCACCAGTTCCATTCCTGGTCAAGGCACATGCCTGGGTTGCTGGCCAGGGCCCCCAGTTGGGGGTGTGTGAGAGGTAACAGATCAATGTTTCTTGCACATTGATGTTTTTCTCCCTTTCCCTCTCTCTCAAAATAAAAATCTTTTAAAAAATCATAAGCATTTTGTTCCTTCGATTTTTATTCTTGAATACTTCATCTCACTTCTAGAGGTTATTTTTAAAATTGATACAAGCCTTAAAGTTGAGGTCTTCTGAAGCCCCCTAGAGTTTTTTTTTATTTTTTTAAAGACTTTATTTTTAGAGAGAGGATAAGGGAGGGAGAAAGGGAGTGATATTAGTGGGTTTCCTCACATGCAACTGGACACCTGGACCACAACCCACATATGTGCCCTGACCAAGAATCAAACTGGTGACCTTTGTTTGTTTAGTTCAAAAGCTGATGCTCAATTACTGAGCCACACCAGCTAGGCTTCACAGTTCATTTACTATTTGTGCTTGACCTGTCTGCCTGGTTTCCATACAGGAACAGATTTGACTTGCTCATAAGTATTTAAAGTTTAAAATTTTGGTGAGGTTCAGATTGATACTGAGACAGAGTAAATACCAAAAAGTTACAATCATCTTACAGGAAACTTAAAATCATTAAGAATGTTCTATTCACAGTAGCATTGAAATCAATACAATACTTTGGAATAAATTTATCAAAAGTACAAGACTTTTACAATATACAACTACAAGATATTGCTGGGAGAAAGAAGATCTAAATTAGAGAGAGGTCCTCAACCAGGGGTGACTGTTTAAACTGGAGGACACTTTGAAACCAGAGAAGACACCAGCATTTGGGCTGCCTGTCACTACCAAACCCAATAAGCAATGACAGCAATCGAATCTTATGGGCACTTTATTCAGGTGGTCAGCAATCTGAGAAGATGGTGGGTTCATACCCTAACAGGCCATCTTGTCTTCTCTTTCCACATCAGACTTTTTATAACGGAATAAACAAGGTGTGGTGAGGGGCTTTGAAATTCTGGGAGGATTAGGTGAATAAAGCTGCAACATTCCTAGTCATCTGTCTCTTCCTGGAACATAAAGGCCCAGATGCCTCCAATTGTCCCCAGGTGGTCATCTTTAGCAGTGCCCCAGGAGGTCAGCTGTTTTCACAGGAGCCAGGACATGCCTTATCTGTAGTTTTTGAAACAAAAGCTTTAGCATACACATTACTTGCTAGACTTAGAACTTTTTACCCTAAGCTAAAATTTTCTAACTCTTGAGTCCCCTATCAACTTGGTATAGTATGGAGACATTTTTGGTTGTCAAAATTTAGCAGAGGGTTGCTACTGGCCTCTATTGAGTTTAGGCCAGGATGCAGCTAAGTACTGTACAATGCATAGGACAGCTCTCTGCAACAAATTTTTTGGCCCTAAGTGAGTCAATAACACCAAGGTTGAAAATCCTAATCTTAATAAGTGGGGAGGCATTTCATATTCATGTATTGGAAGACAATATTGTCAAAGATGCTAATTCTCAAATCTATAAATTCAATATAATCCCTATTCCAGCAGCATTTTTTTTTGGAGAAATTGATAAGCTGATGACATGATGTGCTGTAAGTGGAAATGCAAAGGGTCTCAAGTAGCAAAATAATTTTTTAATAGAACAAAGTGGGAAGACTTACACTTGTATGAACTACAGTGATCAAAACAGCTTGGTATTGGTACAAGAATAGAGAGAAAACAATTCAAAGTCCAGAAACCCTTACACTTTTGTCACTTGATTTTGACAAAGATCTAAAGGCAATTCAGTAGAGAAAGAAAAGTTTTTAATAAATTCTGGGATAATTATATGTCTACCCACACAAATGAACTTAGACCGTTACCTCACACCATACCCAAACCCCCAAAATGAGCTTAAATTGGATCACAGACCTAAATGTAGGAGCTAGAACTTCTAAGATTTCTGGAAGAAAATTAGGAAAAACTCATGATTCTGAGTTAGGTGAAGAGTTTTTCCTTGCTTCTCGAATATCACTTTTAAAATAATTTTTTAAAGTTACAGTTGACACAATACCAGTTTTAGCTGTACAATGTAGTGATTAGACATTTATATAACTTATGAAGTGATCACCTCAATCTAGCATCTACCTAGCACCATAGTTAATTCCCTGTTTTACTTTACATTTCCATGACTATTTTGTGAATGCCAATTTGTACTTAATCCCTTCACCTTTCCACCCGTCTCACTACTTCCCTTTAGAGACAACAAAAAAGTATGATCCATAAAGGGAAAAAGTGATAATGGTCAAAGTAAAAAAACATGCATCTCAAAAGGCACCACTAAGAAAATGCAAAGGCAAACTACAGATTGGGAGGAAACATTTACAAACCATATCCTTAATAAAGGAGTTATGTAGAGAATATGTAATGAACTTTAACAACGCAGTAATATGTAAATAACTCCATTTTGAAATCGGACAGAAGATTTGATTAAACGTTTCTCCAAAGATATGATGGCTAATAAGCAGATGAGAAGACATTTAATATTTGTTATGAGGGAAATTCAAGTTAAAGCAACAATAACAACACTTTATGACAAAAATATTGGGGAAGCTGTAGAGAAACTGGAACCCTCTTACATTATTTTATTGATGGTAATATAAAATGGTATAGGCACTCTGGATAAATTTTACAGTTTGTTAAATTTATCAGTTACACTCCTAGGAACCCAGAAATAGTGAAAATGCCCAAAGACAAGTGAACATTCGTAGCAGAGTCATAAAAGTCAATGTCCATCAACTGGTGAATGGGTAAAATGCCATATCCATACAGTGGATTACTATGTAGCAGCAGGAACAAATTACTGATCAATGACATGCTTAGTGAAAGAGACCAAATGCAAAAGGCTACATATCGTCTGATTCCAAGTATTTGAAATGTCCAGAGAGGTAAGTGTATAGACAGCAAATCAGTGGTTTCCCAGGACTGGGCGTGGGAGCAGAGGTTAAGTGCAAATGGGCAGCAAGGAACTTTTTGGCTAATGGAAATGTTCTTATGGAGATGGCACAACTCTAAATTTACTGGAAATCATTGAATTGTATACTTCGGGTGACTCTTATGTCCCGCAAATTTATTATTCAATAAACTTGTTTATAAAGTGTCAGCTGGTTGGGGAGGGAATGGACATGTTAGAGGTATCTAAGGCTTCTGAGCAAGACCTGGGGCTTGATCAGTTTGCACCTACAAAGCTAGTGTACCAGTTTTCCTACTTTGTGGATTTAGGTCTTCCGGAAATAACAAAAGTATTTACAACTGTATACCAGGAATTTTGTTTGTTTCCTCCTTGGTGTGGCTCTGGACTGAGCGCTGGCCTGGGAACTGAAATGCCATTTCCATTGATACCCCATCAGGGCAAATGCCTGGGTTGTGGGCCAGGTCCCCAGTTGGAGTTGAGAGAGAGGCAGCTGATCTCGAACACACATGATGTTTCTGTCCCCCTTTCTGCCTTCCTTCCCCTTCTCTAAAAATAAGATCTCCCAAAAATAAAATTTTGTTGCCTCTGACAAAGTGAAACCGGAAAAGACATCGGGCGTTAAGGCTGCCTGTCACTATAGGAATTGAATCTCTAGGGGCGCTTTATTCAGATGGCCAGCGAGCTGAGATGGCAGGTTCATACCCTAACAGACCATCTTTTCTCTTTCCATGCCAGACTTTTTATAATGGAATAAACAAGGTGCGGTGGGAGTTTTTGAA